TGTCCTGTCATCCCATGACCTGATTCCCGGGACTCCCTTCACCTTTTTCCCATGCCCGTCTATCTCTCTAGCTATACTATAAATTTTAAGAGAGGGAGCACAAAATCATGTCACATGTTGAATTGGGAAGTCTCATGCACATACATGATACATGTCATGATGATGATCATAGTTGTGTTGTGACTCGCATACAGCAAAGCTGAGCAAGGGCACAAAGCAAACTATCCTTTGGCCTTTCACCAAGAGCATTTTCGTATTTTTCAAGAGAGAGCACATATATACATAAGAAGGAGAACAGTAACACTAACCAAAAAATTAAAAACTCGAGGAGAAGAGAACTAGAATGAACATAAAGCTCATTGCCACTGCTGATTATATTTACAATTTGCTTCCCAAAAAAGGTGGCTCCCACCTGCTTTACACGGGAGTAACCTTTCCCTTCTCTTAAACCTCTCTTCCCGGCTTTAAGATGAGACTTGGTGAATACTTTGATAGAATCACCAAAGGACTTTAGCTCTCAGCTATTTAGACATGCCTTAAATTAATATTTCTGGTGACGGTAGTCTATGTTCAATATGACAAAAGCAACCAAGGTATAAAAGCCAATTGTTGTTATGCCCCACCTGCTCATTACATAACATGTTACCATGAGAATGTAATATTATACCACTTCTTCCCTCAGAAAGTGAGCTTCTAGAGGCGGTCCAAAACAAGAAAATGGAATTTAGTTAGCAAACTGACCAGTATGAGATCGTTTCTTGCGCTTTGGGGTTCCCTTGCACATGTTCCTCCATTTATCCTTTAGGTCAACTGTAGTACGGCATTTGAGAAACACTGAAGCACCAAAGTCCAGAATTTCCTTCCATGGGACATTTCCACCAGCAGTACTTGCAAATTTGCTTACTCCCTCCTGCAACAATAATAACAATTATTTCAGAAAAAAAAAAAAAGAAAAAAGAATTATGCCCAGATGAGTAATGATGAAAATTATACAAAAGAAGGAAACCAGATAAAGTTACTACACAAAATCTTGTGTATAAATTAGAAAACACAGATAGGAAAAATCTAAATGTTCAATCTGGTGCTTACTAGAATCTTAGATTTTCATTAGATCCATTTGTTACTCAAGACAGAAAATGAATGTTCAGAAGGAAGAGGCAACACCTTTAAACCAGTCTTCAGCAAACAGAAACAAATGCACACTTAAACTGCAATGGTTCAATATTTCATCTCTAAAACTAAGGGCTAGGGATCAACTTATACAAGAAAGAAAATACCCTAAGCATCCGTTCTTCCTCAATTGTCCATGGAACCTTCTTTCGCCTCAACTGTGGAATTGCAGGGTAGGTACTGCAGAAGAACATTTTAACACTTGAGATTTCATTGCTGATGCGATTAATTGAAGACATTCTTTTTGGACAAAAAAAAAAAAAAAAAAAAA